TCAATATGACTGATTTAAAAAACTCGAATATATGGTTAAAATATGGTTTTCATAAGCAAAATATTAATAGCTAATAGCTTAGAGAAAGAAAATGTAGGTAATCTAACCGTAAATCTTCAATATTATTAGTGAAGCATTGCCTCTATATAACAATATAGAAAAATTTCTAAAAGATATAAAAGCATATAATTTTGTACAACTCCATGAAAGACGTAAATAAAATAATATAAAACGAAAAATAACATAAATAAAAACAATACAATGTACGATTTTTCCAAGTACAATTGCAAAATTTCTTAATTTGCTTTGAATTTTTCTTTTTATTTTTTTTTGCTGCGATCGATAGTGCAAAAAAAATGAAGACAAATGAAGGCAATTAAGGATTAAAGAATTAATTTCCGAGATATTTATAACATCAAAATCAGTTCCACATACGAGGAACAACAACCATTTTTTAAATTATTTTATTTTTCTCTTTTAGTTTATAGTTCTAACAAATAAAAATATCGTTCGTAAGGGAATAGAATGGCTCAGTGGAAGTGCCAATGCTAGGGTTCGATTCTCCTGTCCAAAAATTCGCGTGATGCTGGCGATTCACCTGTTCTTCTATCGACAAGGATTTCCCTGGCATATTTGTTCAATGCGACAAGCCAGTGGAACAAGTAACCAGTAATGGTGAGGATAAAAAAAATCGTTTGTAAATATTGTATCCTACTGATACAAAAGATAAGACAATTGTCATATATGGGACAATTCTGCTTAAGAAAAGCACAATTGTTATTAACATTCAACCCATTCAACTCATTAAACTCAAAAACCCATTTTACATTATTTCACCGATTTCACCGAAAATCTTATAGCCATTTTTCATATGCCATAAAGAAAGAAATAAATTACTACAAACCATTTTACGAAATTGTTTGGAAATATGCAGAGCGAATAGTATGCAAAAGCGTTTAATTTTAAATCGTTATTATATCATAATTTTAAGTCCATAATTATGGACTTATTTTGCGTTTATGATATGATATATATGAAAAAAATGAATAAATGGGTTATTATTTTATTATTTTATTTAAGACGTGGGCTATTATTTATTTAGCGAATGGTAAATACCATATTATTTTTTAATTTTCATTTATTTTATTATTTGGAAATCGACTCACCATATGAAAAGTTGGGTGCCATGAGTATTCCCTGCATTGTTAAAATAATAAAATTGACGACGAATATTTCGAACATTGTAATTTAATGACGATTTATACCGTAAGTCGAGAAAATTTATTTCCTTTTATACTTTGTATAAAAAAAGTAAGTGGTTAATCTTTTTCAATCTTGGTACCTATTAGAAATTTTTGTCAACTTATTTGATATAAATGAGTTCCACATTTTTACCACATGTTTTAAATTTGCATTTTTATTCCATCAGTTGGAATTTATCAGAATTTTAGCAAAATTATGAAATTTTTTGGCAAAAAAATCGAAAATGCTACAAACTAATTAGATCGGAATTTAACCTTAATATGGCAATTAAAAATATTATAAGTCATCGAAGTCATAGAAATCATACAAAGGCCAAAGACGACGGCTTTTCATTAAGATGCTCTATATGATTACTTTGGAAATCTTTTAATCGCATTAAATTTTAACCGAATTATATTGTGATTTTTGAATAACTGAAAATTTCGAAACAAATATCATTGAAATTCTCCATCAGTTGACTTCCCACATTCATTAACCAATGTTTTTTTCTCGAAAAACATTGCTTTTTTTGTTGGCTTGTCAAATTAAAATTAACAAAATTTTGCCAGAAATTTTGCAAGATAATGAAAAAATATAAATATAAGTAAATATAATATGCAGTAGTAACCAGTATTACTCGGATTTTTCAAGGATAGGTTCAATTTAATTTGTTTAATCTAGGGTATAAAAAAGTATGATACCGAGCTCGAAACTGAACAACACCTCTGCTTTGAACCAGAAGCCATTCTAAGTTTTCGATGGCAATTATCTTGCCTCTAAACCATTAAGAAAATTGTTTGCTTTCCTTAAAATCGTGGTTTAAATCATTTGCATATGGCATTTGCTTTTAGCACATGATGCAATGGATAATTTGAAAAAGGCTCAATGGCTTATTCAATGATTAGGAGGAAGGCCTCGGAAAGGACCGAAAATAAGAAACAAAATAATAATAATACGGAATTCATAATAATAAAGCCTTTTTTAAAATTTAAATAACAAATGAAATTTTTAACAAAATTTTTTAACAATATGCAAATCATACAAAATTGTTCTCCCTTTTTCTTTATTCACGCATCTGTTAGTTAATTTGTAAAACATCTTATTAATATAACAAGAACAACAATTTTGAAAATATTTCATTTTGAATTAAATAAATAAATTCGATATATTTTTTGATTTATTAAGAACCACCCAGATGAAAAATGGAGCATTTCAAACGTACAGTGACTAAAAAAATGTAAGGTTCCCAATCTTACCAATAAAACGTTCGGAGGAGATGTATTTCGCAATATTTCAAATATTCATCATCGCTCATAAGTTATGGCAAATGGAAATAATAGCAGAAAACTAGAATAAAACAATTCTACTCCCAATTTCTAAGAATGATGATAAGATGTATTGTGACAATTAACCAGAAATCACTACTAGACCTTCAGAAAAATTTTAACTTTTTTTTGCTAAATAGATTCATAGCTACATAGATTAACCTCAAAAAAAAAAAATAAAAAAAATTTTAAAAAAATTTTTGCTAAGCGGTCGTTTTAAAAAAATATTCTCGATTTATTTTTGTCAATTTATTTTTCATTTCTAATCACAATTCAGCTAAGTCTTCTTAAACTTTTAATTTCTCTACCAAAAAATGACAAGATCATAGTCGAGGTGGAATAGAATGGAGTGGAATGCACACGAAGATTATAATGCCGTTGCGATGATCTCTACAAATACGGCATCGGAGACCAGTGCACCAATGGGGAACGCTTTCTTCGTTATGCTGAACAGCATTAATATTTTCATTAATATTTGTTTCCACATCGAACAAAACGTTTAGTGACATGGAACTCCCTGCATAACCAAGATTTCAACCAGATTGATATATTTTAATCAGTCATCAGTCCATTGGAAAAGTTTCCTATCGCGGAGTTGAAACGGGCAATGTTCATGGATCTAACAATGTTATGATTCGAATCAAGATTGATGATTCGAATCTGCTCATAAAACTCACAACTCGCAGAAAACAAACAACATCCCTCTAGATTCTTCAACTATTTCAAACTAAACAATTCTGAGCATTTTTTAAACCGAATTATTGAAGCACATTAATGATACAAATATCAATGATTTTTCTGGAACAAATGAATTCTGGTTCAAACTAAAGGAATGTCTCCGAAAGTCAGCCATTTCCACGCTAAGCATACTAATAGAAGCTTTTGGAAACAACAGACCAATTATTTGAAAAAGGTGTCAAAGCACGAATGTCAGGTAACGAAAGCAGCAAGGCAGGATAGAAATCTCTATTGACATGGCTTCAAGAATGGAGGCGGCGGCTCGATTAGGCGACAATAGGAAACTATTCTGCCTTCTTCATAAAGCAACTATGACTCGGAGAACGATTAGTTAAATATAAATAATGGCGTGCCGATTAAGAATATTAAGGACTGCCTCATAAAATGGAAAGAATTGAGGCCAAACTTAACCATGAAGCATCATCTGCTGCTCCTGATGCAGCTGATACGCTTATAATATCGAGCTTCCGACAAAAGAAAAAATAATCTCTAATCTCTATTATCCATAAGTTCAAGGCTAATAAGATTCCGTGAAAAAATGGTTTTCGGTTGAATTCTTTAAATCATATCCATCGTCCTTTACAATAAATATACTTTCTGGCATGGGAAAAAAAAATATTACCAGATGATTGGAGCAAAACAATTCTACTCCCAATTCTCAAGAAAGATGATAGGGCATATTTGAGACAATTATCGAGAGTCTATCTACTAGACGTCTATGCTTCTTTTTTACTCAACATACTTATGGAAGTACAGGATGCGCCCTGATCAAACTGGTTTCAAGCGACTGTGCTGGACCAGATATCCACGATTAAAAAGGTTTGTTGGAATATCGCTTCAAATATTTCCAATACATCATTTATATGTTTTCATCGACTTTGCGCCTGGCTGCTTTTGATTCATCTGATAGAGCGGCACTTTAGAGAGCGATGGAACACGATGGTTTTCCATACAAGATCATTCGACTCACAAAGGCATTCTAATGAGTGTAGGTCGGCATAGGTAAGTATATATGGGGAAGATTCCCTCGAAATAAAAACTTATGCCCGTCAAGACTGCGTCTTTTTCCCTAAAATACTCAACTATGCAATAGAGGGGGTATTAAACACCGCTTGTCGATATTCAACAGGTGTTCCTCCAAATTAGTCCAAAGCACTGTACCACGGATCTTGGATACGCTGAAAATGTGGTCCTTTTTCCTGACAGTTATGATGAAATGCAAATATTAGTAAATTAACAAGCGTCAAAATCTTTTAATCTTATAATATCTTATTAGATAAAATTAATCTTATAATATATTATAAGATAAAATTCATTGCCAGTTGAATGTCGATTTTAAAAAAATAAATAAATCTTAGATCCAGCTGATACCGAATGGCGAGGGCAAAAGACAATATTATAGACCTGGATTACGGCAACTGGAAATATGCTCCTCCAATTGAAGAAACCCATATGAAAAAGTTGTGAAATTACCATAAAGACGAAAATTGGCGTCCATAGAGCAGCAATTCGCTCGATCGTGCTATATGATTGCGAAACATGGCTAATGAAAGTTGAGGATATTAAAAAGTTTTGCCTTTGATCACTCATATCTAAGATAAAATTTAAGAGTTCATCGGGTGGATAAAAATCTCATACGATGCATCCACCTTCGTTTAAATACTGCATGCATTAACAATACCATCACAAAACGAAATGGTCACTGATGCGGCACAGGCATTCGGTGCGAAAATTACCGGTCTTTTCAAAAAAGGTCCAGCATATCTCGACTATCCGAAATCAGAACCGTATGAAGGAAGGATTATGCTAACAGATCGCATAGCAGAAGTCGAACAAGAACCATTGGAGCAACATGTTAGTGTCTATCATATCGGTAGGTATGATGAGCCAATAACAGGTAAAATTGAATTCATTTTCAAGAAATAGATTGGTGCATATTGGTGTATATAGCTTTATTACCTTCATTTATTATTATGGACTATCACCATATTTTCCTTGTGCAAAAACTAAAATATTTCATATTTTATATTTTAGTAAATGAAAAAAGTAAACAACACAACGGAAAGATATAAAATTCTAAATAAATAGAATGTCGGAAATTATTGTATTATAAAGTTATTCAAAAATAATAAGATTATTAATTATAAAGTTTTTATCGTTTGCTAAGGTGAGTTTTCATTGCTTCGTTGGGTCAATTTATTGTTTGCTCAGGTCAATTTTTCATTATTTTGCTCCATTTTGTCACATTTTAGGGTCATTTTTTCATCTGTTGATTTAATAGTAGTTAGTGTTCAATATTGGTTTTTAAGTGCGGCTGGAATCGCATAACTCTCTTTTTTTCTCGCTAAATTTTAATTTACTTATTTTATACATATAATAAATAATAAAGATTACATTTACAATATTACAATTGGTTATAAATGCTAAACGCCAGTTCGTGAAACCATCGACGAGTACGCTCTCTCACTCCTTTCAAACATTTTTTTTTAAACTGAATTTAATAAACATTTTAGAAAACATAGAGAATAATAGGTCAAAAAAGATGATAACAATGATATTAAAATGGCTTAAAGAATAAAGAAATAAGAATTCAGTGGCTTTAAACCTAATAAATTTAATTCTTACTATACAATTTACCATCCATAAATTCATCTGATAACAATATTTTAAACAAGGAATTATCGGAGTCGGAATATATTAACGATTCGGCATTATCCAATATTAACTCGCAAAAATTCCAATCGAAAGATTGTAAGGTCAAATTTTTGCTGATATAAATTAAATTAGTATAAATTTAATATAAATATATAGTTTCTTAAAAATGATATGGGTAATGGATAATGAATACTAAAAATTAAGCGATAAAAATATTTCAAGTAGTAAAATGATGAAATAATTTAAAAAATGGAACTAATTATTGTACAATGCATAATTTGCGAGAATTTCGCTCATTGTAGCTAATAGAAAAAAATAATAACTATAATAAAACTATAATAAAAAAAGATAAAGATAGCATAGAGATTTGTTAGCATGCAAAATCTTTTAAGCAGCTAGCATAAAGATATTTCATTTCAAGCCAATTTACCAATTAATTTTTTATTTTACAATGCATTACAATATTTTACAATATTTTACAATGCATTTACTCAGGATCTATCAGCCAATCAGTTTCTAATAATAATAAATTCATAGTATTATAGAATAATAATTTTTTATTACCACAGAGTATATTATGTTATTTTATAGGACATGGTAGGTATATTATAAAGTCTAAAGAGGACTAATTAAGATCGAGAATAATATAATTGGAATAAATTTTGAGGGGAGTTTGGTTCAGTGGAAAAATGGCTCACTCAGATATCACAGAGTCAAACGACTTAGAAACGATATGCATTTGTTATTAGCCTAATCAATATTGGCGCTTGTTGGAAAAAGAAAAAATTCTAATAATACTAATAATTTTCACTTCATTTGCCTCTATGCTTATAAACTCAGATGTTCCAGTTAAAAAAATCTTTTCTCATTTCGATCGAATTTTCTTCAAATAATATGTTTCTAAAATTCTTATTAATTTATTGATACAAGAAGATAACGAAATTTTCCGAAAACCTTATTTTGGCAATCATTTTTATAGAGAAACCAGATAATCATTCGATCTCTTATATATTTTTCGTATCTCTCTCATACATGTTAGGTTTTGCAGGCATATTGATTAAAATTGATTATTAATTTTATTTATATCAATAATTCCAAGAATATATTGTAAACAAAAATTTTTATGAGGGTCGATTTTAAAAACGTTGGCAAGACCTAAGGTCCAAGTAAATAATCTATTTACAATATATGAATGCAACATTACGAAACTAAAAAAGTTGAAATAAAAAGATACAAATAAGTTGAAATGAACTTTTTGAGACGAATTGAAATATGAATTAAAATTAGTCTAAAGATATTAAGAACAACTTATTTATATGAGTTAAGCTAATATAAAGTAAGCCATTAAAATAATAAGATTCGAGTAAAAAGTAATAAGATATAGGAGCCAGAAAAAGTTAAGTGAAAATTAAGTAAAAGTGAAAGTGAAATAAAGTGTTTATTATTTCATTCAGTTAACAATAATTTCTCAGATATCTTAAAGGATTAAATATATATATAAAAGAATGGCTAGAAAGATAGATTTATTTTAAAATATTATTTACGACAAATGTTGTTCAGATCACAAAAATACGAGCTAATGCATCAATTTCTTTTTTCTCTACCCAAGTCGAGCAATCTTATCTGATAAAACATCCTGCAAAAACATTTAAACTCTAAATAATGTGGTTGTATAATGCATAATAATTTTTTGAATATAAAAGTTTAACATCTTATTTTTTAATCGCATATAAATTATTTATTATTTATTTAAATTATTTATGTTCTTTTTTATAATCTTCATTATCAAATTCTTCTTTTCAATCGATAAAATGAATTTCTTTCTCAGTCTTAATCTGAAATATTTAATCCTAAATATATTATTATTTTATTAAAAATATTTATAAAAATATATAAAATATATTATTTTATATACAAATATATTTTTATATATAAAAAAATATTTATATATTTAATATATTAAATATATAAATATATTAGTAAATATATTAAAATATATAATAAATATTAGTAAATATATTAAAATAGTAAATATATGTTATATTAATATTAAATACTAATATATTATATTAATATATTGAAAAAATTAAAACATTTTTTCATAAAAAATAAATCGAAAACAAAATAGTCGATTGACAAACATTCCTACAAAGTTATCGCCAAAGTTTACCCTTCTCAATACCAAAAGTCTATTTTTCTGTAAGACTGTTTTTTTGGGTTATTTACTGAATTTCTTCGCCTTAATATTGTCATCCGAAAAGTCAAATTTAAAAATAACAATAGAAGCTAGATAGATTAAAAACCGATAAACTCAGAGGAAAACGGATTGTTGTCTTTTGTCGCTAAATGCGGTGTTTTCTACTTTTTCAAATTTATTGTTTCAAACTGGTGATTCAGATCCGTTAAATAAAGCCTTTCATTAATATTTACTTTCATATATCAATAAAAGATAAAGGCCAATTTATAGTATATATTATATATCCCTCTCAAGAAAATTGTTTTTTTCATATTTTGGTGCCATCAAGAAGTGTTGAGTAGTGAATAATGAATATCTTATTCAGTATTTTATAATTTATTATATTATCTTTTAATTATTTCTTATTTGTTGTTATTTGTTAACCTATGGGTTTAATTTGTATTGAATTTTGTTTTTAGCAATATATTATTGAGGTTTAATTATCCAAGTATGAAGTTTGTATTAATAAAAATTTTATAATATATGCGATAATTAATGGTTAATTAATGTTTATTCTACTGAATTGAATCAAGATTATTCTAGAATGAATAACGCGTGAAAAAACCCACTGTTTTCAAAAATTATTTGCTCTCCGCGGGATAATACATTACAATACAAAAATCGAGTGTTGCTGGCAATCAACCTGAACTTCAGAAGATTTTCGATAGAATTGACAAATAAACTAAAGCTAATAAAAAAAGGTAAGCTATCTCACAAAATTGAAGGTTCCATAGAATCAGTAAATCTATAAGTATAATCTACAATCTAATGGACCTCAGAACAAGAAATTTGATATAATAGCACAAATAAAATAAATTATCTTCATCGAAAAGCTATTAGAGAAGAAGAAATATTTTTCAATTATGCATCATCATAAAATAAAGTGCAGCTGATTTTGCAAAAAAAAATTTAAATTATTGGCAAATAGCAAATTTTAAATTAATCTGTTATAAGAAAGCTATCTCAAGAGTAATAATCAAAAAAATGCCGTATGAAAAATGAAAAATATGTAAAAAATACAAAAAAATGAAATATAACGAATTTTATAAAATAAGACAAGTATATCAATAAGTGTGTATTTTGTTCTTGTTGGCTTTTTAATGAGAGAACTGATTTAATTTCAGTCGGTATTGATTTGATTTAATACAAGGATGATGAAATATAGAAGAACAGAATAAATCTGATGACAATTATGAAAACATATGTCAAGAGTAATAAGTCGCCCAATTCGTGTGAGAGATACTTCATCAGAGCGGTAGTATCCTTATATGAATTTTGGTATACACCACTGTTTCGTTTAGCGTGAAATTCACAGTAATTCCATTTCTGTGGAATGTTAAAAGGAATACCAGAAATTCACTTGCAGTTTTCAATAGAGATATCAAAGGCAGAATTAGTAAAATGGTTAATAATAATAATGGCTAATGGCTGTTGAATGAACTCTCGTATTCTTTGTATGCTCTCGTATGTTCCTCTAGTTCGGAAAGCAATTAATTCTTCTAGCTTATCTTTTGTCGTCGTTGTTCGCACTTCTTCAATGTCCTTGGAAAAAGAATGCGCAAGTGTGACCGTTTATAAAATATTTATTTAAAATACAGTTCAAGATAACAAATGATTAATAGATTTGAAATAAAAGCGAAGTTAAGGAGAATAGTTATAAGAAAAAAGGTGATTCAAGACGAGGGCGAGTCGATCGTTAATTCTCCAAAAGGGAAAATCCAACACTGGACTGCTCCATTGCCTATCTGGGTGGTTCTTATAAAGATTATTAGATCAAAAGTTATATAAAATTTAATTTATTCAAAAGGAAATATTTTCATAACTGTTGTGTTTGATATGTTAATAAGATGCTTTACAAATTAATTAATAGAAGCTCGAACCAAGAAAGAAAAAAAAGCAAATTTTTTGTGATTTATGTATTGTTGATATAAAAGGTTGAAGTTGCATTGTTGTTTTTCTCTTTTTTGAATTTTAAAAAGGTTTTATGAAGTCTTACTCTATTATTATTTTGTTTCTTATTTTCGGTCCTTTTTGACAGTCCTCTTCATTTAAATTTCCAGTGGATAAAGTTGACTGGTTGATTGAAGCGTTTTCCATCGAGAATTCGCTTATTCATAGTGTTCAATGAGTGAAGAGTAAATTCATCTTGCGTATTATCTATTGGCACATCTAATGAAACGTTGGGCGCAATAAAGTCAGTAGATCTCATCAAAATCATGAAAATTAAAGTTTATAATGCTTAAATAGTAAATTATAATGCTTTTCCATATCACTCTTTGTGAAACTAGGAAATTTCTGCTTTGGTAATAGTTTTCATAATAGTTTTGAATACCAATTGAAATTGACTAGCATCGTCTCTTAAAACACGCTTAGAATATCCACGTCGCGATACAAATCTGCGAAACACATGTAATTATAAATATTTCTGCTGGTTTTCCACAGGTTTTCTACAGGTTCTAAATCGCTCATAAACGGGTAAACGGGTAAGAATAGTATCGATCTTTTGACTGCTCCATTGTTTATTCTGATTAAAAGTGGTCACAAATGGTAAAGACCAACCTGTTCAAAGCCTCTCGACTTTCCGACACGGGATGGTGGCATCAACGGTTTGGCACTGGCATCGATCTATTCCCAAGTGTTTATGGTAAAGGAATTTCTTTGAAGCGACATATGCGTCTTATCTATAGTATATCATTTATATATAATAAAAAAGCAATATCTTAGGGAACGCCAGATTTAACAGGTGTCGTGCCAGAAAGAATGTTGACCACACAAGAATGTTGATATAGCCTAATAACGATCCTTTATGTAATCTGATATAGTAATCTCCTATAATCTAATATTTAGCTATAGAATTCCCCTGTAATGCCATAATTATCAAGATCAATAATTAGTTATGCAAAACAAGTATCAAAAGTTATAGCTAAATCTAGGTACAACAGATATTACCATTTTCCATTGTCAATTCATGCTGACCAATCGGAAATATTTGCCGATACTTGTGAAAAAATTTTTTTTGTACAAAAACCATGCTGATAGGAGGATGGTATTAAAAAAAGTAAACAATTGTTTTGTTGTTGCAAATCAATCTTTCGACCCTTGCTACCAACGCATGTTAGGCTAATTGGTCTGTAATTAATAAATAAATAAATTAATATGAAATAATATGAAATTGTAGATTATTTCTTGATGATGGTCTTTCCATATTTCTCAACCAAAATATTATCATATCTTTCTGGTTTTTATTCATTACCATTTAAAAGAAAGCCCACTCTATGCCCGCTATTGGGAAAAATTAGACCTTTGGCTATTTAATGAATAACTTTTAGCTGTATGCCACATAATATTCTTTTTATCCACCGAGATGACCGAAAGATTTAGAACCTAATATTTTTTTATTCACTGCTCGTTCGAAGTGCTGCATTATCCATTTGGGTGGTCATAATAGAAGGTTTTTAATAAATATTGATAGATCAAAAAATATATCGAATTTGTTTATTTAGTTGTTTATTTATTTAGTTCAAAATGAAATGATTTCATTGTTTATTGTTTTTCATGATATATTAATAAGATGTTACTAGTGGATTGCTTAATGCACACAAAATCTCTTAATGTAGCAAGAAGAAAAAAGGAAGAAGAAAAATGTGAAGAAATAATAATAGGGAAAAAAAGGAATTTTAAAGTTGATATATGAAGCGAACGAAGCAATTATATATATATATACGTTAACTATATATATAAAAAGATGGAGAAGTTGACGAGTTCGATCCAAATGCCATTTTTATCACCGAGGGCAATTTCTTAGCCAACTGTCAATTTCCTTCAATTATTTATTTTCAATGGTGATCTACGACACTGGAGAGCTTTGATGCTATTGTTCACTCCCAAATTATCCCAGGGATCCAAAAATTGATTTATTTAATTTTCTGCCTAAAAGGAACAGCATTTCAAGCCGCCAGGGCCTGTGACATAGTCCCAAAAAATTATGAAACCGTACGAAAGATATTGACCGAGAAATATGACGTCTCATCGACTATTATTAAATTACTATACAAACGACTACAATCCATCAAACGAAGTGGGATAAAGTGGGATGAAGCAGTAAAGAAAATGGAAAGAATTTTCGAAAGCCGACTACCATGTTGGTTACAAACCACCAAAAAATATCACCAGAAAATAGTCAATAGTCAGTAGGAAAACTCAGATTTAATAATCAATAATCAATGTCAGTAAATAAATCAATTCTTATTCACTCATATGGACAAGAAATGTGATTAAGCAGAACTACAATAAAACCTCAGTATTAGCAACTATTCACAATAAAAAGAATATTCCTTACCTTATAGCAATCAAAAGCGAAATGAAATAAAGAGGATCGTGTTCATTTTATAATCAAAATCATTGGGATAATGAATGTCGAATATATACCGTGAATATTCGAATGGAACGTCTCAAGGAGATGAAGAAATGTACTAATATACTAATGTTTGAAGGCAGATCAAGGCGAAAAATATAAGAGAAAGGTAAAATGTTTCTATTGCAAGGCTTCTTATAGTAATTTATGTGAAAAAAAAACGACAGCATCCGAACAAATTTTACAAACTAATAAGCTAGACAAACTAACAAATTGGAAGATTGTTCAATTAATTACGATCCGAAATATGATGACTAAAACGAAGTAGCTAAGAAACAAGGTAAGGTAAAGAAATCTTACTATTATGTAAAGTGATAATTATATTTAACCCATTGCAACCAAAACTAACGGAAGAAGTTTTAGCACTATTTGACATTGGGTCAAAATTATCTTTAATTTCAGAAGAATTAGTTCAGCGACTAGGCTTAACAGAAACTTATGATCAAGAAGATTATTAATGGTAATATAATCAGTAGAATCTCACACATTTCCGATCTTAGAATAATCATGGATGAAAATTTCGATTTCGATCTTCATTGCAGAACCATGGTAAAGAAACCCTCAAAGATATTAAATTTATTTTTCGTTCGTTTAAGAAAGTTTTCTTAAAAAGCGTTCGTTCGGCCACTTCTTGAAGACAATGCTGCTATATATTACTCCCCAAGATATCGCAATTATTTTACTTGAAGTAAAATAATTGAAGAATTCCAAAAATTTTATACGGCGCCTCTCTCCTAATTAAAATTTTATTTATTATTTTAATTAATTATAAAAGAAAACTTCTAGAATATAACCTGGATTCTCTGTCAGTTCGTATTAAATAAGATACGAACAATTTATGGTTATAAGATTTTGTATGGTTATGTTAAATTATATCGTTCAAAATATTATAATTTTAGGTTAAATTTAAAATTTTAACAAAACAACAAACCAACAAAAACTAATGGGCTAAAATTACTAAAACCTCCTTATGTGCGAAACTAAACTAAGGAGACACGATTTCTTCATTTCCTTCATTTGTAATATTAATTACTGAAATGAACTACCGAACGATATAGTTCCCACTCTTATTGGCCATATTTCCATATAGCAAGATTGAACGAATTGCAGCTATACGGGAGCGATTTCGTCTTTTCGTCTTTATAGTAAATTCGCTATGGTTCCACG